CATCGGACACATCTCGGTTCATGGTTACAGGTCGTCTGGGTGTGGTGGAACCCCCGACATCTGCAGGGGTCCCACATGTCCTTTGCAGGGCTCAACTTTATTCTCATCTGAAGGAGATATTCCACTCGATTAAGTTCTTTAGATTTCTCAGTCCTTGGAAGGGTTACAAGGAAGAGCAGGAGCTTAGTTATGTCACCATTTCTCCTTCTTGTGAGCTCATGTACAGATTCTACTTTGAATCCAAATTCAATTAGCTCGTTCTGTATATCTTCTGTTTTCATGTAGTTAGGTAAGCTTCAAATAACCATTTTTATCTTTTTTCCTTTTGGGGAACGGGAATGAGTTAAAGCAAACTCCTTTATCTCTGAATACTTTTGCCATTTCTTTGTAAACGATGGGGTTTGGCACTAGTATTTTAATACCATCTCTAATCATTTCAGCTTTGTATTTATTCTCACTGAAATTGTGTGATTTGAGTATTTTCATCAAGTCATACCAGGTGTATCGGTTTCTTCAACTATGATCGGAATTTTCTTTGAGAATTTTCCTGCATATAGTGTCTGCGGTGGAGGCAGTTATCCATCATCCAACGCTTTCTGTGCAGGTTTCTGATCAGCCTCGCAGATTGGTTGTTGAGAGGCAGTGTCAATCATCACAGACGAATCGCATGGTTTTTCTTCCTGAGGGGGTGGGATTCAGAGTTTTCTCTTTCTGAGGGACAGGATTCACAGATTTTTCTTTACTTTTTGGGTTTATAGCCGGGGTACGGCGTTTCCCGTGCGTTCGTTTAGTTTTCTAGGCAGAGTTCTTAATTTCTGTGTTATTTCTATCGTCTGAACTGTCCATGTCCAGTGGAGTTCCTTCTTCAGCGAAGGAAAATATGTTAGCGACTGGAATATTGAATTCAATGGTGCGACTGAGCTGCTAGTCCGCATCTCATCCACTATCATAGATTCCACAGCCAAGTTGGTCATAGATTGTTCAGGTTCTCGTTAGTCCCTGGCAGGTATATTTTCCTTATTATTAGTGTTTTCAGATCTTTGGAGAGTCATTTTGTGGAGTGTGCCTGTGAAACCACGAAGTACTCATAGTTCCATACTCTCCATATCAGTGAGTGGCTTGTCATCAGGTCTCACTTCGTACTCAGTGATTAGCACTCCGAGAAAGTCTAAGAGCTTTTCCATCACTGTTCAATCGGTAAAGAGCAGAGGTCGTAGAAACAACAGGCATGTGGCCATGCTGTTAGGTTCGCTAGGCCGTTTTACGGTGCTTGTAGAAGGGACCAAAGCACCAACCTACTATTAGCCCCTAACAGCAAAAGGAAGTACGCAAAATCAAAGACAGTGAAAAACAGAGCGAGGGGCTGAAGCTCCTTCACGCTCTGAGTTGAACTTGAGAACTCTCACGTGGCACAGGCCAAGTCAGAGCATAAGAGACAGGGAACCTTCACATATGAAGTCCACCTCCCGAATGGTCCCAGATAGTTGGAAACTTCTCTAATGAAGGAGTAGCCATTACTAGCAACTACAATGACTGATTTTTTTTTCATTGAAAGGATGGATAATGGCTGTAAAGTTTGTGTGAGATCTGGGATGGCCACATACCTTATTAATACAAGTTTTGTTAGCTTGTTTTTAGCTTTAAATGTAAATTCTTTAGTGAACTAAATGTGACATCATCACATAATTTATAAATATTAATTATTATTTTCATCTTTATACATAATGGTTATCTTCTTTTATGTATAAACATGTTTGGTACCTTCATTATTTTTCCATTTTTGTTGATTTCACCATCGTGTGCTTATCTTTTAGGATCCAGTGTGTATATGTGCACATGCGCTTATGTACCGGGTGGCCATAATTAAACTGACAGTGCTCACAGGGTTCTGTAGTGCGAGAACGACGCCACATTTTGTAGGAAGATTAAACAAGGCGGAGGACGAAGGATTCCGCGAAAAAACAAGTAGTTCCAAAAGTCACCGCTAGGGGAATATTTGGCGCTGTGTAATAGAAAATAGCGTGTTAACAAAAAATTTAAACGGAATAAAATTATCTTATTATTGCAACATTTTGATTAGTTCAAGTGCAATCTGGCAACACTTTTAAAAAAGCGAAAATACATAAAACACCGATAAAATCTCGGATTGCAATATCACATCTGAGCAGAAGAAGAAGTTCTTTATTCAATTTTACGTTACATCTATTCGCACAGTGCCAGCTGCTTGGGTTTTAAAAGGCAATGTGTTACGTTTCAAATCAATCGGATTGAAAGTTTATCAGGCATGAAAGTGCAAGTTAGCAAAAAAAGCTGAACAACGCGCTAACACGAAATTACACAAAAATTAACTGCGCACGTGCGACCTCAAAAAAACTCATTTTAATAAAATATCAACCTTTTAACATAAAAAGTATAAACATAATATATAAAATTAACTAAATAATACTTGTACTTTACTATTTTGCTTTAATTTATCTTCCACTTGTAAAAAAAAAAAAAAAAAAAAAAAAAAAAAAAAAATCAATAAATCACCAAGAGATTGTAATGAATTAACCTTCTTTAAGATGCTCTTTATGTAACTTAATTTAACAGTTGATACATGAATACTTTACAAAACATTACAACACACTAATATACATATTTATGTTATATATTACTGCCCATTTCAGGCAATGAGAGTTTTAGAGATAATACATATATATATAACTGTTACTATAGCTTTCAATAATCTTCACTTTTAGTTCAAAAAAACAGTACTTTATATAACACCAGAAAAAGTAGTCATGTGAGATACTATAGTTACAAAATAACATATAGTTTAAAGGAGAAGGAAACAAAAAAAATAACTATTTTGTCTCTCTCACTCGATCCTGATTAAAAATTTTTAGGGAAAAGGCTTTTTCTTTTTTTTTCTTTTTTTAGGGAAAAAACTTTTGCATCCAACTTTTCTAATTTCCGTTTGCGAGTAGTCTCAATTCTTTTCAGCAGCTTTATGCAATCATTGATACTTCTTTATTTCTGCAATGTTTAATTGCTTTTTTTTTAGATTCGGCTCCTCCTTTTCTATCTCTAGCTCTTCTTGTACAGTTTGAGCATTCCTTAAATTTTACATAGAGTTTTGGTGTACTGGAGAAGCAAGTGCTTATCTCTATGTCTGACAGATGGTGCCAGCACCGATCGCTGAAATTATTGAAGTCAGATCTCGTTTGACGGTTGCTTGCTCTCCTTTGATTCAATATTTCTATGCATCTAGTTTCGCCTTTCCACATAAGCCCCACCCTACTTCACCTTGATGTGAAACAACGTATTTCGCGATCTCGGCTCAGGCAAACTCGAAAAGTTCGCAACAAGGGGTGTCCATGTTTGATTGCTAACCCAGTGTAATATTATACGATGGCATGATATAAAGTTTTTTTACAAAGAAAAGAGGAAGAGAGAGAGCATGTCCTCCATTTACCCCCCCCCCTCCAACACACATTTACCGGTCACGATTTCTCAACGGTTCTGCGTTGATCTCAGAAACAGCCCGGGTGACGTGCAAAAAAGCAGAATTCCGCGAAAATGCGGAAAACTTTCATGCCTGGTTTATGTGCAATGTCTCCTTTAGTCGAGCGTGCATTACTAGTCAAATTCTTTTACCTCAACCAGTGCAACGTGTCAGCCGCTCTTCGTGCTTTTAGAAACGCACAAAAAAAAACAAAAAAAAATGCATAAAGGTAATGGTTCCTGTGTCAGTTAATGGGCTAAAAGCAATGGTTGCGACACGTTTGAGAAAACAAGGTTCTCTGAAGGTTCAGTCAGGCAGAGGACGAAAACCTGTACCACAGGATACAATCGAAGCAGTTGCCACGGCGATTGTCGACAGAGAACCAGACAATATTGCTGCCACCTCTAGCGCTCGTGGAGTAGCTCGGAATATGGATATGCCTTACAGTACAGTATGGAAAATCTTACAAAAGATAATCAACTTCTATCCGTTCAAGATCAGCCATGTACAGGAGTTACTGTACCCCGATCATGATAAGCGATTGACTTTTGCTCTCACCTTTCTAGCCAGAATGGAGGTGGATGATGCTTGGCCGTGGAAAATCTTATGGGGAGACGAGACCCACTTTTACCTGAATGGAACTGTGAATAACCAGAACTGCCGAATTTGGGATGACAAAACCACACATGCAGTCCAGCAATTCCCTTACATTCACCAAAGTAACTGTTTGGTGCGGGTTCACAGCTGAATTTATCGTAGGTCCATTCTCTATGAGAACATTACGCCAACAGGACCAGAAACCTGTACTGTTACCGGAGAGAAATATCGCCACATGTTGAACTGTCATTCCGGCACTTCAGCAAAGACAATGCCTGGGAGAAATCATTTTCATGCAAGATGGAGCCCCTCCACACATTGCTGTACGGATGCAACAGATGCTACGACAGAAATTCACAACAGAAAGAGTCATTAGCCACTACTTTCCAACTGCATGGCCACCTCGGTCGCCTGATCTTACCCTATGCGACTTCTGGCTATGGAGTTACCTTAAGTCCAAGATCTATCAAGGATTGGTCCAGGACCTGGCTACATTGAAGGATAACATATCACGGACTGTACAGGAGATTCCTGCAGACATGTTACTTTCTGCTGTTGTGCATACTGTGCACAGAATGCAATATGTGGTCCACAACAACAGCAGCCACATTGAACCTCATTTGAATGCAAAATAAAAGGTAATTTATGTATTGATTTGCATTTGTTAACACTCTATTTTCTATTACACAGTGCCAATTATTCCCCTAGCAGTGACTTTTGGAACTAATTTGTTTTTTCGCTGAATCCTTCGTCCCCCGTCTTCTTTAATCTTCCTACAAAATGTGGCGTCATTCTCGCAAATAGGTCGCACTACAGAACACTGTGAGTACTGTCAGTTTAATTATGGCCACCCGGTATATATATGTATGTATGTGTGTGTAATTGAAGTTTAGTAAGAAATTTCCTGTATACTTACTTAAGCCTAAATACATGTCGTCTTTTTGTATAATCTGTGGCAACTTCAACAGAGCTTCTTCTAAGATCTAGTGGTTGTTCTCCATGATAATAATTGTCTGGGTCCTGTTCATGTTAAATAATGATAATTTATCAAAGGGAATTAAAAGTATAGATAAAATATTAAATCTGTAAATATGCACATGGTATGAATAGATACAAAATACTTAGAAAATAGAGAAATAAGAGGACTATATACAAAGATATAAATACTTTGTTATAATTTTTAAATCCTGAAATTTAACAACTTAAAACATTAATTTTATTTGTATATAATCAGGAATATTTATTTTGGCAACAAAAAAATGAAAAAATAATAATATACAGTAAGACTTCTGATTATCTAGGCCTCATCTAAAAAAAGTTTAAGTTTGTGTATTGCAAACCAACACAGAAATTATTATCGTAAAAGACAGAAGTAAAGAAAGTTATTTATTTAAAAAAAAGACCACTCGGAATAATAATAATAGTTAATAATACTAGTGATAACAGATGATGTTATAATATTTGAGAGTTAACTGGTAATGCAGAATATATAAACTGTTAATTCGTTTGTAATAAGTAAACTGCTCAGTCATAAAAAAATACATAAAATGTATATAAGGCATTAACGTGCCAAGTGGAATAACCCCCTTTAATTGGTTAATTTTATGAATTTTTTCACTTGGTATATATATATATATGTAATGAAACTGTGTTTGGATGACACGACATGAATGATTTGATCCAGAATGTGGCACAAACTTGCATTAAAATCTTCGGTGAAGCAGGACTTTTCCTATGATTCACTGTGATCATAGAATAACAAACCCATGTAGATTTCTTCATAATTAGAACTGGCCGAAGAATGTAATGGGTTGGGTTATTCAATTATGGCAAAGCACATGAGGGCTATCTGCCTAAAGGGAGGGATGCCTTTGTGGAGGACTTTCTAAGGGAAACTGGCTCGTATACATGTTACACATGGGGAAAACCATGAAAACACCCATGCAGCCAGCCCGTTCGCAAGATTCGAGCCGAACTACCAGTGTTCAGCGACTTTACCACTCGGCCGCTGGTGGGCTCGAAGAATGTAATGACAGAACACTTTTGGAGGCACTACAAAAATTTTACTTTTCAATGCACATTTTGAGAAAAATTGAGGACTTTTATGCTTGTAATTTATTTATTATTACTATTCCATATATTATTGTCTTATAGTTTAAAATTTAGTTATATGTTTATTTATAAACCATCGTAAAATTGTATGACTCAAAAACTTTATAATTATATGAGAAAGATCATGATTTATGATAGGACATAGTTAAAGCCTGTAAGCTATGTCCTCGATGTTTCTTCATGTCTTTCCTCATACTTCTTCCTTCACTAATCTACTAATGCTTTGCTCACCTGGCCTCTCGTTTTTGAGGGGGGGGGGATTAAAATATAAAAAATACGATGGCTTTACTCTACGCGAACAAGCAACCTTCAATTAACTGTCTACAATTTCAGGATCTTCCCCCTAGACCAGTATTTTTGAGAACATTCGAACCTATTACATAACCGCTTCTATAAATAATGAAGTAGCGTCATTTTGCATCAGATTGTTTCTCTCCTCCTGCGCTACAACACTTCGCTGCTGCTTAACCCATCTTTCCTTTGTTAGAATAGTTATGACACAAAAAGCAAAATTTAATCATACTAAAAGATTTGATCGAGAATGCGGAACAAACTTGAATTAAAATCTTCGGTGAAACAGGACTTTTCCCATGATTCACTGTGAGCATAGAATAACAAACCCATGCAGATTTCTTCATAATTAGGACTGGCCAAAGAATGTAATGACAGAACACTTTTGGAAGCACTGAAATAAAAACACTGAGATGTAGATGCATAGATACTTGATGCTTAGAGCGTCCTTCCATTTTGAAGAATAAGCAGTAGAGCTGGATTAAATTCCTTTTTTATTTAAATACTCATTTTGTGGTGACAATTCACTTGGCACTCTACTCGTACCTATTAAAGAACATTTACAATTTTGATATTATTGCCATAGAAGTGAATATAGCAGCACTCCAAGAGGAAAGCACAAGCAAAAGTAATGCATCAGTTCATAGAAAGAAGGGAGGGAGTCAGTTTTTAGTTATGGTTTACATTTTGGTGATTGTTCAAGAAGCATCTGCATTAAGGGTTACGTTATTAATGATTATGTGCATGATTAATTTGAATTACGCAGTTTAGACTTAAGCGCTATTTTTAGGGCATATATATAAAGTTTCCAAATGAAATAAAAAATAAAAGAGGTTATAGTGAATTAAATTTAGAAGTTTTCTTTCATATTTTTTATCTTACATATATATATTAGTTAATAATTTAAGATATTTTGTTTTTCATGCCTTTTTTAATAATGTTCATGTTAATGAATGGAAGTTTATGAAAAAAGAGACTAAAGTTATATGAGTTTAACCAATACATGCTGTTTAAGTAGTTTTTCATAAGCAGATTCAAAAGGTCACACATAGAGGGTTAATGCTAATAATAATAGTATTGTATGTTGACTCTTATTGAAATATCAGAGTAATTTAAATAATAATATAAAAAAATAGTTGGGGCACCACCTAAATAATGGGTAACTTGCAGACTGTATTGTCTTAAGTGCTTTCACCTACCTCTGAGTTGCTGCTCTTACAAATTTATAAAATTTATGCCACCTAATGCAAATTAATATGCCTTTGATTATTTAACTGTCAATTATTCTTTGGTGTGATCAGTGATATTATTTCAAGTAATTTTGCTTCATACATTATTTTTTATTTACTTTCAAGTAATTTTGCTTCTTAATCTCTTGGAAGGACTAGATTTTGTTTTTCTCCTCCTCCCTTTTTTGGTAAGAAAAAAAAAGTCGATTAATTTTTTGCAAGTTGAACTGAATGATACTGTGCAAATTCTCTGGTAAATTGTGTCCTTTCATGCCACTTCTAACTTTTTATTATTACTTTGTATTAATTATGGTACTTGTTATTCTTCTTGTATTTTTTAATTGCCATTTTTCATTAACCTGACATCATCCTCAGTATTACCCTATCAATTAAGAGTCTATTTGCTTTTAATAAAATGCTTATAACACTTGGAAAATGTACCTAAAAATACTGTGTTTGATTACATGATACCCTCTTAGGAACTCGATAAATATTGAAAAAATAAGCATGTTTTATTTATTGAATGTTAACAGAAAATATCATTAAGAATATAACTGAAAATGGATTCAATACTTCTAAAGCAGTTTTCTAATTTTGTGTATGCTGTTTTCTTGAAATAATTATGCAGTTATAATAATAGGTTAACTCATTTCAAGCACACATAATAATAGTCAGAAACCCAACATTTTATAAATAAAATTATTCACTTTAAGGCTTTACAAAAGTTTATCCAATAGTGAAACTGAAAAATGTGTTATTACTCTCCTTACGTTATCTAAAGCAATCTTGCATGCATTAGGTGTGCCTTCAAATTTTTTCAAAAGAAAGGAGATCTAGGAACATATAAATCGTGAAAGTTGCCAAAAATTCCACAAATTTATTCCAGCAGAATTTGAAGAAGCAAATTGCTCTTTATATAGTTACATAATCAGATATTGCTGTTTGTTTACTTAGATAATCAACAGATACAAGCCATTGATATAGCACATGAAAAACTTACAGAAATATGAGTTTAAGTCATGAGATTTGACAAATGAATTCATTAAAATTATTGCCAATCATTCTGGTTGCAAAAAAATCCTTAATAGCATTTTCAGCAAAAAATTGCCACTATCTTTGTGAACTTAATGCCACATATATTCGTTTAAATATGAATCTAAGTTGTGTCATTGGTTTCGAGATGTCTTGAGCCATTTTACCAAGTGCCACATTCTTTCAGTGTTTCAAGAATGAGCCCTAATATAAGAGATTCCACAACTTTAAAAATATTACCCTGCTTCCTCTTCTTTAGAAATTTCATACTAAATTAATATTTTTTTCAAAAGGCAAAAGAAAAATTAGAACTAGCAATTAATTAGTATGCTCCTTTACAAAATCTAAACTGGCTCATTAAGTGAAGTAAAACTAAAGCGAAGATCTTATAAATGTGTTGTGACATTATGCTTGTCCATTACTGACACTAAATTGTACTGTTTGGCACCTATTTTTTATTTGCCAAAAATGGTGGATGAAAAAATACATAAGTACCATGATTTGTTATGAGAAAGCCACTATGGGCTTTTAGTTTTCTAATTTAGTTGTGTATTTCTAATTGATCAAAATCATGAAGTAAAATTTATAATTCTGAATAATTTATTAATGTACATTTCAGTCAAGTGGAAATAATTAAAGTTTTTAAATTCAAAGGCATGCAAAGATAATTGTACTATTTTTAGCAGTTAAATTCATAGGTAGTTATTTAATAAAAATACTAAGAATATTAAAAAATATATAAATAAATCTGTTTTACCTGTTTACGATGCTTTTGATCTTTATATGTATATAATGTATGAGCTTTAACATACAGATATACTTTCTCCCAAGACCTATGAAAAAAATTAAACTAAAAAATCAATATTCACTACTGCATACATTGCAGCATTTACTACATGCTACAAATCAAGCACCAATGAACCAGTTTCTTTATTAAATGTTAAAAAAAAACCATACAGAATTTTTATTGATTTTATAATAAAGAAATTCATTCACATTCATAGAATAATGCTACAGTATTAAAATTTTACATATAATGATACAAGTTTTATTTAATATAAAATTTAGTCATATCTATGAAAAATATAAGTGCTGTATAGGATTAAAAGTAAAAACTAACTACAGATTATTTTTCCATGTATTAATGGTTAATATATTACACAAAATTACGCTGCCTATTACCTGTTGGTAGCTTTCCTGGCAGTAGATTCCCAGTCATGTTTCCTTATCACAGAACCTTCAAATGGTTCCTGAATGCCTGTTGGTCTCAATAAGGCTAACAAAATAAAATTAAAAATGTTAATTTCTAAGCAGCTTTAAGAAGGATTTCATCATTATAATGCTATACAAAGGAGAGTGCCACCCAGCTGGTGTAGTGGTTAGCGTAGCTTACTGGCATGCCAAAGAACCGGAGTTTGAATCCTGGAGAAGGCATGGATGTTTGTAAATGTATAGTGTTGGTGTGGCACGGCTGCACTCTAATTATGCTGCGAGCAGAAAGTCCTCTCATGTGGTTTGGTGTAAGGTGAGAGACCCTCAGACCCGTTCTCCCGCCCGAGTGCTCTCCATCAAAATTGGGGGCGGAACTGAGCTAAATCGCACTGTCACCTGAATGGTGCTCAAGGCTGTTTGTTGCCAATGGCAGGCGTATTCTAGCGCTCCTTGCCACGAGGAATTTTGTGGGCTTGAGCTAACTACATCAGACAAGTGAGCATAAGTAACGACAACAACAACAAAGACTAAAAAAATAAAGCACTTTAAGATTCATTTTTGGATTTGCAGGATGACACATCTGCAGACCAGTTTTACTGGATCAACTGTTACATTGAAAGAAGCATGGGCTATTGTGTGTTGTCATTATCAGTTGAAAAGGAATGAATGTAATCTGCTTCTCATGAACCAAATAGAAAACTCCAACTGAAATTTATAAATAAGTGATAGTGATTGCCTGGAACATGTCAAGATCAGCAGATGATATATTCTTCATTTCAGCTGAAAAAATTCAATCAGTTCTATGCCCAGAAAACAAATTTTCATCAAAAACGTTCTTGAAACTATGCCATCATGGAAGAAACATCTAAAGCATCTCATTCAGATCTTGGGTTAAAAGATAAGTTATGACACGCAAAAATCACAGAGAAAAATATGTATTACACAGAAATCCCCTCTGGTATTAAAATAATGAACATATATATTTTTTATGTCAGATTTAGTCTGTGAAATAAATTCAGCCTTCTATATTTATTTATCATGGCTTTAAATAATAAATGCCAAATGAAACTTTGAGACAATATAATACTAAAATATGCAATTACATATAACTTTCAGATGTGTCTGTAATAAGCATGTAGCTTAGTAGCTTGTACTCTGAAAAATGCTATTCATAAATGAAGTTTTTTGTGCCAATTTAGCAAACTAATACTGATGTAGCTAGAAATAAGATGAAGACGTTATGTTTCATTTGTTTTAAAGCATAACTGGGTCACTTATTAATCTTATTAATCTTAAATACACTTATGTAATTATAAGAATGAAGACTGCTGCAAGAAAATTTCAGTCTAAAAGATAGCAAAATTTTCTCTTTAAGTCTGATTTATTGAAAAATCATAAAAATTCTTCGTTTTAAAATGTTGAATGATATCCCCCCTTTTACAACCTTATTTATTAATTTAAACATATTACCCAACTTTGTTTCGCATAAATATTTACTTATTACAACTGCTGAAGTATAAACATTTTAAAAAAATAACATTTCTTTTAAGAAATTCAGTATTTATTTAATTTACTAGCGGAAATACCCGATGCCAATTTAGTTAGATTGAGAGTAATGCATCTAACAACACAGAGAACGATACTGCTGTAATCCTTCTCTAATAATGCTGCAAGAAATACGATTCATAGTCATACTTTTTTCAGTCTGATGTGATATGTAACCACATAAAAAATTTTGATACAAAAATAAGCTAATTTTCTCTCATTGTATCAGCAACAATGGTATGCAGTTTTCAATGATTTTCATCTTTTTAAGGGGTCATACTTCCCTTAAAACATCGAAATTTTTGATTTTTTGGAAAAAATATATGTTATAGCCTGATTCTTTCTGCGCAGTTTGAAAAAAAAAAAAAAAAAAAAACAAGCAAAAATTCGTACAATTTCATGAGGTTGAAGGAAAATGTACCGCGGACTAATGTAAACAAGGTTCCAGGTCCTGCGGCGTCAGCAGTTTCTCTATGTTATGTGGCAGCTAAATGATTTTTTGATCTATTATGGAATAGCAATGTATTTCTCAACTCTTCGGTCGTTGTTACAGTTTAACAATTCTTGCGTTTTATTTTATTGCTTTTTTCCTTTAATCATTTATTTGTAGGTTCTCCCTCCACTTGTTACGTCACTTATGATCATTCAGTTGTGATTTGGAACAGTTTGCGGGTGAATTTAAATATATTGTAAGTTTTTAAGCATTTTATTATCTTACTGTGCACGCTCCGTAAAATGGCTGATAGCTTATAAAGTGTCTGGAAGCGTTCAAAAAAGCACGATTTCATGGAAACCAGTTCACCAGAATGGTAATCGACAGTTTCAATGAAAATAAATATGGATTTCTTTCTTCCCCATACCAAGCTGTTATTTGTGAAACTACAGCTGCACATAGTTTCCGGGAAATTCAGATGAACTAAATAAGTGCTCTTGTAAAAGAAAGAACATGATTTTTCAAATGAAGCAACGATTGATGCAAATGATTGTCGATAAAAAATCTGTGTTTTTTTAGAGAAACACTGTGTGTAGGTATGCCATGGTAAAAAATTACTCGAAAGATCTGCAGGCTGTGTTCCGATGCTTGACATGTCAAGGATGCAAAATGTTGTGAGGACAGAACACTAAACGTGTGGGGAGAAAAGGACATTGGAGAATAATGGTCGTATTATTTAGCAAGCATTGTATTGGTCATGGTCTTGAACCATGAAAACATTTTGTGGAATAATGGATTAGATTCCTGTGATGAAAAAAAAAATTGAAGAATCTAATAATCATGCAATAAAAGACGCAAGAAGCATGAAAAATGCAGCAGCAGAAGAAATATCATCAGTAATTCTACAGACTAAATGTAAGTGGTGATGGCACCTGGAAAAAGAGCGCATACATCTCAGATGGTGTATATAGGTTATTGGTGCTGAGAGTGGAAAATTATCGACGTAGAGTTTTATCCGATTGTAAGGATGCGAATTGTGGAAGGTCATCGATCTGGTTGTGAAGCCTTTATGAGTGGCAGAAAAACCCATTCTCAGACTTGCAGGGAATCATTTCGGTTCATCTTGCCCAAAGGAGCTGACGGAATGGTTAAGCGTTTCGAGGTCTCAAAGTGAAGGGGGTGTGAGACATCAATTATATAGGTGATGGTGATTCAAAAATTTCTTTGTAAAAAGCAACAAGTGGGTGACTGTGTCAACCTAGAGTGTGTGCACATTAGAAGAGATGGGGCACTCGCTTGACGTAACTGAAAGCTGATATAAGGGACGAAAGCTTCAGATGGCAAAAGTCTATCTGGCCCTTCGACACCAGATAGTGCAATCAGCCAAACTGTCATTGTATTATGGAAAGCAATTCGCAAATGGTAGGGTATAACCCCTTAATCAAATGGGCGTAAAAGCTCAAGTTCCATCCAATATTTTACCTATATTCAATTTTAGTCTATAAGGATTTTAAGGTTTACAAACATTTATTTTATTTTAAAACTTTACAACCCCTCTTACTTTCCACTTCTGGCCAGAATAAAGGTGGTTAGTTTTAGTATGCAAATTGTTAAATATTTGAGTTGTGGCTTTTAGCCAAGAAGGAGTTAGAGAGAGAGACAGACTTCTTGCTACCTTGTCTCACATGTGCTTTTCAGTCAGTTGCTGACTGCCTTTAAGGCCAGAAATTTAGTCCTCTTAATACTGAAGACGTATTGTAGTTTTCCCACATTCTGTGTACTACATCCATAAAAGTTAAACGGCCAATCTTCGTGTATTGCATACTAAAACTAATCACCTTTATTCTGGCCAGAAGTGGAAAGTAAGAGGGGACTGTAAAGTTTTAAAATAAAATAAACGTTAGTAAACCTTAAAATCCTTATAGACTAAAATTGAAATATAGGTAAAATATTGGATGGAACTTGAGCTTTTACGACCTTTTGATTAAAAAGTTATTAAGTTTTCAATGATTTTCATCTTTGTATATAATTTATATCTTATAAGTCGATTAAATGTGGGAAAAAATTTATCATAATTGATCAGAAATCAATAATGTGAACAAACACACGAACATTCTTCTTTATATGTATAGATTTTTTAAAACTTACAAATTTTTTATTAACAAACTCTATGAAAGCGAGCAGTAGCAACACTTTTAGAAAATAAAGCATTTTTATTTCCAATGCGCGAGACTTTTGCCATTCGAGAAAATGTGTGTGTGTGTGATTATGGCAAAGCCTCGAGGGCTATCTGCCTAAGGGGAGGGATGCCTTCATGAAGGACTTTCTAAGGGAAACTGGCTCGTATACACGTTACACACGTGGAAAACCACAAAAACGCCCATCAGCCAGCCCGTTTGCGGGATTCGAACCTTGGACCAAACTACCAGTGTTCAGCGACTTTATCGATCGGCTGTTAGTGGGCCCCATTCGGGAAAATAAGTACGAAAATTAGCTCTTTCAGAGTTTTTAATTAATATTTCGACTGATTGAAGTTGTACAAAGATGGGAATGGTCGAAATGGCTTCCCACGAATTTTTGTAATCGGGAATAATGTATTTAATTTTTGGCAATGCTATTTTTATTTCATCGTAAAACTGCAAAAAATTTAAAAGATTTAAAAATAAATGACAGTAACAAAATAAATTATCCTAGCTCGATCAGACTAATGTACTCAGCAAAATATTCCACAAAAATGCAAAATTTTAGATTGTTTTTGGCACAGCTTAAATATATAAAGAATTCTCCACCCCCAAAATATTCTTTAACTAATGTAATCAAATAAATTTATATGGTATTCATTGACTAAGGAGCAGCATGTATTTTTCATCTTATATTAATAAAAAAATGATAATAACTTAATATTCTTTTGTATCTTTTATACAATGGGATCATAATATTCTTTATAAATTGGAATAAGAAAAATTTGCTTAATTTCATAAAATAATTGTCTTTATTGTCAGATTTTTTCAGAAGATAGATTCATTGGTTAATACACTGATGATCAAGTCTACTCAAATTTTCAGGAAATCAAGACTCTCAAAATGAATAAAATGCTATCAGAACAGAGACAATGCTATATGAGTGATCTAGAAACAGCTGAATAACCAAGGGAGGAAATTTCCCCAAGTATTAAAATGGGGGAATTATGCTGAAAGGTGTGCAGAAAAGAAGCTTTCAAAGGAAGGGGGGAATCCTGAGTATCTGAATAATTTCTGTGACATTAAATCCCTTTCCCTTCCCATAAGCTCTAAAGTTTACAATACCAGACAAAATATATACATTGATTGAAGAAAGAAAACTTATTCTGTGAAAATGCATAAAAAACTTCATCAATATTAAATAAATTTAAAACTAAATTTTGCCTGTTTTAAATGACTTTCCAAGTACACTTCTATGCAAGACCACCATCTCTGAAAATGACCATTATCTCTGAGAACACACACAAACACTGGTACTGAATTTTACCTCCAAGACAAATTTTCTCACAGGAAAGTAAAGTCATCCAGAACTGTGGTTGATAATCTAAGAGAAGATATACTATGTTATAAATTTGAAAAACTCCTTTCAACCAGAAGAAAGTTGAGTTGATTGCTTTAAACAATACATTTGCTTTACTTGCCAGTATAAATTATATCTTTTTTATTAAATTATAATTAAAGAACATAAAAATAAAATGCCTATTTGTAACTTCAGCTGACAATTAAAGATATTCCTTATTGTGAGGTAAAGATACAATTAAAGATAATTCTTTACTGTATAGTAGAAAACATTATTTCATACCAACTGAAGGGTAAACAAATCAGAAATGGCTAGTTCTTTCATTTGTGCACAATTTCCAGAAACAAAGAAGATTTTTTACCAAGACATTTTTAAATGCTCATTTAGTGTTAATAAAAACCCTTAAAAACAGAAGTAAAATTTAAAAACTATACTTCTTTATTGCAGTAAATCTAAAAAAATTAACAGAAAGGAAATCAAATAATTGGTGGAATCTTTCAGATTTCTCTCAAGGTGCAAACGTTAAAATTCCACGATTGCAAGAAGTCAGTGCTTTTATAGAAATATAGCAGAATATGCTTAAAATGTTTGTATCAAATCTTAAGGTGATACACAGTAACAAGCATTTTGGTTTAACAAGCATCCTATCTGAAATTTAATAAAATTTCCGTGAAAATCTTTATGTGCTGACTTTGGAGATTACATGACTCTTATTTCCAGATATGAAGAAATCAATAGTTACAGGTTCCAGGCAGTAAGGTACAAGTTCTAAATATATTTACCTGGTAATATATACATGTTATTAAAATATTTCAAAAAGCTCCTTTCATGTTTTCAAATATGTTCCTTCTAATTTTTTTTAAATAAGGAAAAGGTAATAAATGAATTATTGAAGATAATAAATATTTGCACCAAAAATTTTTACATCAAAAGGTGAGATGTTAAAATATAAATTCTTCGTCTACTACATCATTTTTTAATAAAACAAAAATAAATAAATTGTAAATTTCTTTAGTAAATGACTAGGAAAGAAAACACACCTTCGGCCTTTTTGGAAGGGTTTTCTCTCTCTGGTGATGGTGGTTCATCACTAATAGTCTCAGTTTCAGTACTGCAGAAGAAAAGAATACATATTTAATGATATTAACTTGAAGTATGACTATCATCTTCATACATTTTTAACCCTTTTTTCATATAAGGGTTTAAAATTCTACACTTTTCTAAAACTGAATATATCTAAAAATTTAAAGCAAAAGTCCCCTTGTTAACTCACGTAGAAATTTCTAACTCTTTGGAAAGCTTTTCTGCAGCAAGCCGATCTTCTTCTTCTTGCATTTCTTTCTTCTTTGCAAGTTCCTGTTCATACTATTTGAGGCAACAGAAAATATAAGTTATTAAAGGAGAATAAATATTAAACAGATTCTTTTAATTATTAAAACAATAAAAAAAGACAAAAGTATTTATGTAAGAAATATCACAAAAGTGTCTAATGGCAGGAAGGAAATGCAAGTTTGGCCTGAAATATGTATATTTTTCATTAATTTTTTGCTAATTACAGCAGTATGAAAATTAATCTGAACACATTAAATTAAATTACAATTTTAATGAAACATACTTTTAAAAGCTTAAAAGGAACCTAATATGAAATATGTCCTCCTTTGTCTGTGGTACTTTACTCCACATATTCTGACCTTAATATCACAAATCTTTCTTACCTTTCTTTCATTGGATCCTCAGGGAACAAACTCTGATGCTAATGGAAATTAAGAAATTGTGGTACAACTCTGATATACGCCCTAATTTCACCAAATGTGGTGATATGTGTTCTGCGCTGATTTTTGGCGCGATTGCGTGTTCTATGGCAACCCTGTTGGCTCGAACAATCTGGTTGAAGATGGGAAAGATAAAATGGTAGACGTTTGTGAATGAAGTTCGGCAAAAGGAAATCATTGTGGCCATCAGTTGAGGGGTGGGGTATTTGAGGGTGGAAGAGGGTCTGGGAGATTATTTTAATGGCTGTGCATGATAGAAGTAGGATTTGTGATTTTATTTATTTGTGAACCATAGTATGAATTTCTGGAGTGTGTCTGGCTGTCATGTAAGTACGATAGTGATTAGTGGCGGCGGTTAAAGGGGATGAAATTAGTATTTCGCGGCAAAGCATAATCCGTAAGTGCATTTTATTTTATTCTTCTTTTGAGAATGTTATGTTCAGTGGTATTTAGTATGAATTCTGTGTTATTGTTGCTTTTGACAGAACGCTGTGTACATGGTATTATTTGAAATTTATTGTTATTATGTTATTTATGAAAGCGAGGTGTGTGTAGATCGTACATTCATTCCTTGCCTAAATTGTGCAATTCATAGATGTTTTTTGAAGTTTAAACAGGATGCTGTGTACATGTTATTCTTTGAAATTTATCGTTGTTAATTTATTAAAGCGAGGTGTGCATAGTTCGTAGATTTGTTCATTGCCTAAAACTGTGCAATTCGTAGATGTTTTTTTAAGTTTAAGATGTTTTTTTTTTAAGATTCTTAGATGTTTTTTAAAGTTTTTTAAGTACACTATTTTTAATGGGCATTTTAAACAGGATGTTGTGTACGTGGTATTCTTTGAAATTTATTGTTATGTTAATTTATTAAAGCGCGGTGTGCATTGAGATGTGTTCCTTGCCTAATGTGCTTTTTTTTTTTGAAGTTAGCTGTGTACGGTTTGGTCAAATATTTTTGTTAGAACTTTACGTTTTGCATCTAAATTTTTGTTTGGTTTCGGTTTTAGCGGAATCGTGTGTTCAAGGTAGTTTTTGGCATGTGCACAAACCGCGTTTTTGGGACATTTTAGGCTTAAAGTTCGAAATGTAGACAAAAAATTTAGGTAGTAATATGGCAGTGGCGAGAAATTTGGCGCCTTGAGGGCGCATATCAGAGTAGTTCCATGAAATTATGTATAGATATATATTTATCTTTTATTTTCAGCTTTTCCTTCATGATTGATCAGATATTTTTGATTAAGATGATGTCAAATGAGTTTTTTGGCCATTTAAAGACATATGTTTGATGTTTCTGATAAACACATGTAACTTTCTTGAATTTGTGACATGTTGAAACATCTTCTACAGAATCCTGCTATCAATCCATAAGTATGTCAGAGTAAGAATAACACTCTTTTCAACAAATTCAACATAACTTTCTGGATTCCTTATTCCAGTGATGGGTACAAGGATCTATGATAGATAGAAAACTTATACAGTGATGGGTATAAGGATCCATGCACCATAGAGGGAAAACCAACACTATTTTTAATGGGCATTTTAAAATCTGGTCAATGTGCTTTAAGACAATTTCTCTCTATGATATCTTTATGTATCATGAACACCAGATGAAGATAAAGATATTTTACTAATACTTTAATTTTTAAACTGAACATTTTGCACAAATCAAATGATTTTTCTTCAACTAGGTTATCAAAAGTTAATTTTCCTGATATTTAGTAGCTTTAACAGTCAAGGATGCATACATATCAGTTTAAGAAGTAGCCATTTCTTTTTGTAGATAAGAACTGTTAAATTGTTAAGCTAAAAGTTTTCATTTCCCCCCCCCTCTTTTCTGGATTTTCCTCATCAAAACAGTATCATCTTGATCAGTATTTTTACACTAAACATCTAAATATTTTCCAATTCTTATTAGATCAAGGGTGCAAGTATTTCAAGAAAGTTTGAGAGTGTTGTCAATAGTCCAAAGTTTACTTCACTTATCTTGAGTAAATTTCTCCGAGTCATAGAAAAGCATGTTGACTTAACATTACAAAATTACTCCTTTCCTTTTCTCTAATCCATTACAAAAATTGAAACATATACATGCTATCAATAAAGATAATCATTAGAACAAAAAAAGTAATAAAACCAATTGGCAGAAATGAAATATAACAATTAAAAACTGCAACTATGAAATGGCCCAGATTGAAAGGAAATTTATGAATGTAAACTGTTGCCATTCACAGGAAATGAAATAATTTTTAAATGACCTTTCGTTCAAATTAATTCAGACACTACTGCAGGCATTTACACAGAATTACCTGAACCCGTCAGTCTTCTAAATATGTCATTACTGAGAACATTGACTATAATACATTTCAGTGAACAACCAATATTGCACTAACAAAAAACGTCAGAAAGAATACTTGAACAATCAATCCTTATACAGCACTGTACCTTTTGTATTGATCTGACAATCATGTTTCATTAGCTACACTACTGGCCATTAAAATTGCAACACTATGAAGGAAAGCAGATGAAAAAAAGATATTTGTTGCATGAAATTGTTGAAAGATGGCATGAAAACAAAATGATTAAATTTGTGAGCATTTTGGAGGTTTGCAGGGGTGTGAAATTAGTAGAAACAGCTGCCACCTCTGGCAACTAAAACGGCCCTTATCCCATTAGGTATGGAGTTAAACTGGGCTTGGATGACGAAATGGCCACTCATTTCCATGTGCGTCGTCTTCCCCACTTCATTAACCGGATTAGCTAGAGAGGTGGCGCCCAGTCACTCTGCAAGCCACCAGATGTTTTTAAGGGTGACAGATCTAGAGCGATCAGGACGGGCACGATACCCTGTATATCGAAAGGTCGATATGACGTGCAACATATGGTCTTGTATATATTGTTGGAATAGCGTTTAGAGGCCTCGAAGATAGGGCACAAACACGGACGTAAAATGCAGAATGTCCGCTGGTTCAAATACCCGTATTGAATAGTTCATTGTCCCAATGGCTGCTCAAAACCATCAACAGGTGCAGAGCCTCTATGCCATATCAAATGCAAGAGCGACGTGCTGTTACTCGGACACTCAGAACGTATACGGCCATCGAACCAGCATGTGGAACCGAGACTCATTTGAAAGGAATCATCTGCCTCCCCTACCCAGTTGTCATCTGGCTCACCAGAGCGCCAGCTCCTTTTGTCCGCATGTCAAAGGAAGCCGAAGTAATGTCACCCTAGAATAGTCCCCACTGCTGCAAACGTCAACGGGCCTTACGAGCTGATAGAGCGTGCACGAACTGCCCTTCCCCTAAGGGGCCCCCAGCGCCGAGCGTAAGTCGCTGAACGGGTTTTCGTATGTGGTCGACCCGCGAACGCTGGCTGCTGGCATTTAATGTTTCCCAAGTGTAAGTGTATATGAGCCAGTTTCTCTTAGAAAGTCTCCACGAAGGCATCCTTCCTTGGCAGATAGCCCTCGAGGCTTTGCATAATCACACTCACTCCCTCCATTAAGGTCCGTGAGTGTTGTACATTCTGCAGGGTGATCACATCGTCTTTCCTCGGCGTTATGATGGGGGTGTTGTGATAGTCCCCATTCTGTAGGATCTCAGCAATCCATGTTTATTCGCATGCAATGGTTGATGTGACCAGTGCAACGCGATATCACGGAACGATAACCCTTCGCAGGACGCCTGCCTTTATCGATTTCAAACTGCTGGTAGCATTTCTTCTTATTCAAGGCATAAATGATATTCTGAGCAAACTCCAACCTTACAAAGCACTTTCCGAAGAGATCCACTACAAACTTTTCTTTTATGCGTGCGTCAGGACATTTCTCCTCCTGATGTCTAATGCGTTGTATACTAATCTTCATATCCCAACTTTTCTCCTTTCATGTGATTTTGAATTCGTCAGATCATTCCTTCCTGGTGTTGCAATTTTAATGGCCAGCAGTGTATTATATTATCTTTAAATAAATATACATATTTAAGCCCTATTTTCAAACAGAAGATCCAATCTTCTTGTTTTTAATCATTTATTAATATGATTTTCTTCATTCTAATCCCATAATAATTCTTAAAAAAATAGAGGTTTTGTGAAAATAAAGGCTAAAGACAAGGTAAGCCTTACATAGCAGATTTTTCTAAATTTTCAATTCAAACAGGAATACTTTAGCTGTTAATAAATTAAAGATAACTGTTAAAATAATATTTTCTAGATGTAATTTTAGTGTCTTCTTCTTATTTTCTATTTTTATTTTTCAGAATTAAAAGCCTTTCTTTTATTAGTAATAATGAAAATAAAAAGCATTTTTACATTTTAGAATTAATGCAGTCACAGAAGCAAAGAAACGCATTATTATCATATCACTTTAATATTAATAATGACTGATTAATCCTACTAAGTGTAAAATACATAATAACAAATACAAATTGGAAGAAGAAAATAATTTTAATTGTTAAAGTTTAATGATTTTGAGAAAATAAATTGTCTTTTCAAATATGAAATCAAGTGCTCTACATTTGAACTAATTTCTTTGGAAAAATATGTTATCAGATATCAGTTACATTAAAACTAATATTCAAAATCAGGATTCTGTGTTTTTATACCTTAGCTATTTGCATTATGAACATTTTCCAATAAAAACAAGATATTATACTCA